GTCGTTACTGTCATCCAGCTCATCTTCCTCATTTTGGTGTTCTTCATCAATGCTGCTTTTACATTGCTCAAGATTTGGAGGGGCGAACTCCTCATCGTGAGAGAAGATCCCCGCCTGAAACAGCAGGCGATGACGGGGGAGAAACCAAAAGCTACGTAATAGAGAACGAGAGGAAATGGCCGCGAGCGAGCCGTGTATATTCGAATCGAGGATAAAATGTCTGTAATGTACACGTAGATAATTAGATAATTAGATTTCTAAAAGCTTTTTTTTCTTTGACAGTACATCTTTGTGACACTACTCACTACCCAATACTCACTAATACCGAGTAGAGTATTTCGAGACAGACATTTTCTTTCACATCCCGTACTCCAGATTCTATCAGTGCGAGTACAAGCACTTTGGTGTAGAGTAGAGTACACAGTACGAGTATGCAAAGGTCCAAACACCTGCATTGTTTTTACCTAGCTAGCTGTGCAGCTGGAGAGAGGGCGATATGCTATGTAAACTTGTGCAATGCTTGCTAAGGGTACTTTGTGCTTGGAACCTATTCAACCTATGTAGTAACTCGCCATGGACTCGGTAAGTGGCCTCGGTGTTACCAGTGAGTACGAGGATATATCACGCGTGAGGCGAGCACATGCGAGGCACCGACGGGGAATCCGTTGACAGGGTACATGTATGGGTAGGTAGGGTAGGGCAGGGGCTTGAGGGGGTGGGAAGTAGAAGAAACCGCTCTCTGCTGAATATGTTGGATCTTTCGGGACCCATCTATCCATCTAGCTAGGTAGGTAGGTAGGTAGGTAGATAGGTAGATAGGTATGCATCCTCTCGTTTTCAAGACATGGGATACCTGGGATATATGAGTTACATGGATGGGATACAAAGGATGCAAATCCGTGTCAATGACAATGACGATGCACCTTTACTCGTCAAAATCCGATCCGATGTACACATGCAGAGGCCTGCTCCTAGCTAGCAGCATCGTTGAGGGTGTATGCACTTCAACCTCCAGCCCATGCGTGACCTTTTTCATCATCAGCAGTCTATCATTTGTGTTGGCCCTCCCCAGAAGAAATTACGACAAGCTCGTCGCACTCATGAAGGTCGTCCTCCTTTATGACCACGTCTCCATGTCCATGATCATGATGAACCCAGCTTCTTTATGCAGCCATGGCTCTCTCGAGTACCTGGTACAAAGTTTCAACCTCAAGCCTTAATCGCTCCTCCCAGCGCCCCTCCACTGAATTGCTGGCCACCAGGTCTCCTCGCTCCTTGCTGTCCCTGTCTCGGTAGACCAGGCAACCCGGTCCTACCTCCGGTTCTGCCACCCCTACCAGCTCCCCTCTGTCCTTGAGCAGAGAACGCGTTGACCATGCCCGCGGTTCTCGTTTCTAGCACCTTCTCGTTCGACTCCAAGATACCCATCGCCTTTTCGCTGAGCGTGATGACTTGACTCTGCAGGCGAGAAAGCTCCACGCCCTTTCGGAAGACAATGGCATCGTTGACTTGATCAAGAGCAGCGGCAAGCTCTTCGTGGGAAATCATCTTGGACACCACGGCCGCAATCTTCTTCGGGTCAAGTTCGAACATGCCTGACAGAGTCGTGATAGACAGAGTGTCATAGTACGGAGCGTAAGTGAACAAATACGTCCGGAGACCTTCTTCCTGGATCTGTTCTGCCAGCATCTTCTTGACCTTTTCCTTGTTCTCAAGGCCAAGGAGATCCCAAATGCCAATTTTGCTGATCAGGTCTTGACACTTCTTCCAGTCGCCCTGAGCAAGAGCCTTGGCTGCTTGCATGACATGGTCCCGCGTGTTTTCTGGCGGGCCCTGGAATACTTGTCGCTCCGTGTACTCGAGCATGCGGCGGAAAGTCTTGGAGATGACGCGCTTGCGGACGTCCGGTGATGAGCCGGTTTGGGCCAGCAACGGGATTTCCAAAAGCATGCTGCAGGTCAGGTACACACATTCGAGCAACTCCAGGTTGATATGCATGTGGAAGGGAAGTTGACGTTGCCGCTCCAGACGTTCTTGCTCAGGTGTAACGGTCAAATATCGTTGCATAATGACGCCCTGAGCGAGGAGTTCCTTTTGCCGTCCAGAACCGCAGATCTCCTGTAGCACGCCTTGCGCTTCGTAGCATAGACCTGCACGGAAAGCGCAAAGACCAATCTGCACCAGAGTACGGTTGAAGAGAATCTGCGTTGAGACGTCGAACGACGAGATGTTCTCGGTCAAGTGACTCATGAGGGCAAGATCACGGGCGCGATAGTAGTCATCCTGTAGGGCCAGGAAGTAGATCTCGCAGAGCATGGCACGTGCACGAATAATACCCTCGCTGTGCTCGAAGAGATGGTTACAGAGCGTCCTCACAAGCGTGGCCACTTCGGTGAATTGGCCTCGTGGCGTGAGCTCCGAGTTTAAGGCAGATGGAATGGCCGCCCAGGTCTTTTCCTCTAGAATCTTGACCACCTGAGTGGGTTTAAAGTAGATGTGCTCTAGCCGTCGAATGGTGGTGCGATTGATATTGTCTTGCTTGTTCTCGGACTTCTCCAGTTTCTTGTTGATGGTTTCGATGTAAATGAGGGTACGTACAATGTCGGTGTACAGAAGCTGCTCGTCGCTCAACCTCTCGATGTATTCGGCCGTGTGAGGGTCGGTCTGTTGGAGAGAGCGTGTTAATTCGTCGTCCAATCGCTCCAAAAGGGATACGATACTGCCGGGAATCTTGAAAATCTCGCCTGCGGCAGGATTGGGTTGTTTCTCGTCATCTTCCCATTCCTCGGCTACCTCAGTCACCATGTACTGTGGTTCATCTTCCAGGGTCTGCAGCAAAGTGGAGAATTCGCGTTCTGCGGCTCGCCATGACTCTTGTGACATGTAGGCTTGGACTGAGGATGTGGTGACATCGAACCTCGTGGAAATCAGAGTGAGGAGCACCCGTATGCGCTGATATGGTGTGCTAGCGACATCCAACAATCGCTCCATGATGCGAATTTGCTCGGTCCGGTCCGTGTTCTTCTTTCCTCTCGACTCGATGATGGTGCGAAGATGTTTCAGAATACTCTCCGGTGTGTAGACGAGAGCCTTGCCACCCCTACCAACTGTCGCAAACCCTTCTTCGTCTATGGCAGCTTCGATGGCATCGAGTCTTTGAACCTTGTTCTTGCGGGTTCTCTGTTCGACTTCCAAGGGCTCTTCCTCGTCTGATTCCATAAACTCCTCCTTGTTTGCTCGATATTTCTCAATCTCAGTTGCGTACTCTTTGTTGTTCTTCCGGATCTTTTGTTTCATGGCATTGAAACCTTTTGCGTTGATGGGGTTCATCTTCTTCGCACCAGACTTCTGCTTGTCATTCGTCTCGTTGATCAAGTCCTCCAAGTCGGCGATCATCTTGATGTAGAGTTTCGGGGTGGCGCCTTGTTGAGTGACCTTGACGACTTGTCGGTTCATTTTGTCGAATTCTTCAGGGCACAGGTCAGAACATTTGTAAAAAGCGGCACACGGACAAATACGAACCTGATGAAACGACAGCCCAGTCATTGATCTTCTCAGCATTTTCGATTGCTTTGATCGTGCTCTCTAGCTCTTCGAATCTCTTGTCCTTCGCACTCTTAACCACTCTCTCACGATCCTCATCTTCGCTCTCATCTGATTCGTCGCCGGCATCTCCTGAAGGCTTCAAGAAGCGGCTCGCACCCATACCACGACCTTCATCCTCACTGGAATCTTCGTCTGACTCCTCTTCTTCCTCCTCTTCTTCGGATTCTTCTTCCTCTTCCTCCTCGCGATCACTGTAGAGTTCTTCCTCTTCCGAAGAACTGCTCTCACTATCGGAGTCGCCCCCGTGAAAGAACCGCGACGACATTTTGATCAGATGTGGCTTCAAATGTCAGCGAAGATGGTTATGTCGACGCAGTAACTGAGGCTGATGTGGTGTGGTTGTCGAACAGATCGGGCTCGACTATGTGAATCCGCAGTTTGAGGCAAAGATTCTCAAAATTCTAGTTGAGTGCCAAGGCCGCCAAGCAGGTTTAAATGACCGAATGTCAGTGTGACAATTTAGCACTAGCAGCGCGTACTTTGACTAGTGCTTCACTATGTCTGACGTCAAACGCGTCACACTCTATCCTCAGGTTGTCGTGATAGTCACACACTGTCACAATGACTGTCACAATGTCGCCAGTCCTCAAACGCCTTCAAAAAGTCTTATGAGTCACTGGAAATCCATATTTTCTGTATACTTGCAGACCAAATCTTTCTGGTCATTGCAACGAAAAGGACAACACGTGAGAAAATCCTACGAGGGATATACAGATCGTATCGTCTAATGGATCTTCGCTGGTACGCCTGCTGGGACGCTTCGTCCTGTCCAGTCAGTCCCTTTGGCTCAGTGTGAGCGTCCTGCTGTCTCGCAAAAGGCCTGCCAATGTTCCAGACTGTGTCAATCTGCGTTGAGTACCACCGTTGCGTGACTCGGTAGATGACAATATACAACCCCAACATTCCCTCCTTGATTGTCTTGTCCTATGATGAACCTTCAGCGTCCTCCATTCAACCACTGCACCATGAACCTCCCGTGTCAACATTGTATTCACTTCATCCCCCCATGTCATTTATCATTCATCGTTGCAAGCCCGAGGAGCATTCCGACGAGTTGATGACCCTGAAATTGTATGTCCCTAGAGGCATTGCTCCTCCATCACAGCCTGTCGTTCCTGCTTCATCAGATCCATCGGAGTACGATGCAGTATTCTGCCCCCGGAAAGATTCAGGTCTTCGCCCAAGGCCTCTCTCAACCTCACTTTCACAACCAGAGAGCTTAGTGTCGGCGCTGGCATTTCATTGCGAATGGCTGTTTCTGTCTGCATGCGCCACAGCGTTCTAGCATGTTCACCGATGGCGTTCTCTTCCACTCCGCAAAGGGGACTGCAGGTTGTTGAGTTTCGGCATCAAGCCGAATCTAACTGGCCAAGAATGTCCTCATTTTGCGCAGCTCAGTGCCATTGAGCCTTGTTCATAAAACTGTCACCCATTGCGCCATCTTCAAGTGTCCTGATAAAATCGCGATTCCTCTGGTTTCGACTGCCACGTCTTCTTGCAGACGATGGCGAATCCACATACCCGTCCGCCGGAGGAGGATAGTACGCTGGACTGGGTTGAAGTCTAATAGGTTGGTTCGGATCAAGATGGCTGGCGACACGTTGAATGGCCGCAGGGATACCAGCTTGCTGTTGATCCATGGTCGAGGCACGCTGACGGCCAGCCCTTTGCGTAGCCTGCGCGTAAAGACTTTGCTGATGATTGTAGTGACTTGGATTCATCTGCGGAGTTTGCTGCATCATGCCCATTTGTGCAGGATAGTTTGATGAGTGTGTTGGATAAGGTGGCGGGGCGCCTTGTGGATGGGCCGGATACATGTTGTTGTACATTGGTGGCGCTTGGGATTGTGGGTAAGGAGTCATCTGCATCGCATAGGCGTTCTGAACGGCTGTTTGTGCCTGTGCATGCGCAACTTGTGCCGCTTGTGCCTGAGCTTGAGCGGCCTGAGCAGCACGTTGCTTGCTAAGTGCTTCAGCTTGTTGCTGTTGTTGCACGCCAGGCGCCGGTGTCTTGCTCGATGGTGACTTCAAATTCATTGGAGGAACAAATGGCTGGGTAAACTTTTGCTGGGTGATGAAAGGATGGAGCTTTGCTTGCTGAGGCGACCAGCGTTCTAAGGGGTTGATGGTGAGCAGGCCGCGAACAAAGTCGGTGAAGGCAATGCGATTGTTCATTTCTACTTGTGTCAGCATCTTCCTCCGTGCAGAACCTGTGTGTAGTCTTACCTCTTTCCACCTCTGCTTGCTTCATGTTCTTGCGGGGCATAGAGTAGCTCCGGATGATTTCGGGAAGTGTAGTTGCTTGAAAGTACTTTTTGCTGGGCTGCTCTTTAACGTTGTGCTCACGAGAGTATTGCTCCATACTTTTCAGTCGATACGTACGACGACCAAACTCGTCGGTCGTCTTTTCGAAGAACTCTCCTGATTGCTTCCCCATCTCCAACATCCACGTCGGCGGCATACCCAGCATTTCGACAATCCGAGAGACTTGGTTGTATTCAGACGAGCCAGGAAAGAGCGGCAAACCTAGGAATAACTCCACAACGATGCATCCAAGAGACCACATGTCAATGGCAGACGAATAAGGCAGCCCCAGTAAAACTTCAGGGGATCTGTAGAATCGAGATTGTATATAAGTGTAGACTGTTTGTCTTTCGTCGCAAGCAGAACCGAAGTCGATAATTTTGATGATAGGGCTTTCCAGGTTCTTCAAGAGTATATTCTCCGGTTTTAGATCACAATGGATCAGCCGAGCCTTGTTCAACAAGGTCAACCCGTTAAGCAGCTGCTGTGCAAAGACACGAACCAGTGTCGTGCTGAGACCTCGGAATTGATTCTGTTTGATAAGTTCATATAAATTGACGCTGAGAAGTTCGAAAACGAGACACAGATGTTGCCGATGGATGAACGTGTCTTTCAGCCGCAGAAGATGATGGTCGTCGTTTTTATCGAGCTTCTGATTTAGCAGATCGAGGACAGAAACTTCCATCATGCTCTGGTTGAAGTAGGCTGTGCGGTTTTTGATGACCTTGACCGCAACCACCTCTTGGGTCCTCAAATTTTGACACTTCACCACTTGACCAAAGGTGCCCTGGCCTAGGACATCTAGAATCAAGTACCTGTTCTTGTGGCCCGCCTCTTCACTCCCCAGAATATCGTTGACGTAGAGAATGTAGTCGCTATCGTCGTTATCGTAGCCATCATTCTTTGTTCCCTTGCTCGGTTTTGTCAAAACCCGCCTCGGATTTCGGGATGACTCGTATTTGAAGCTAGGATTACATATTCTGTACGTGGCTGGGAGATAGGTGGTAAGTGCCTGCAATGGGCTAATGAACCCACCCTCTGGATTTGCCCGGCGGTAAGGTGGTTGCGCGTTCACCTTAGGGTTGAGATCTTGCATGGTTTTGACTTTTCTGAACTTCGGCGCGGGTCCTGGTCCCTGATGCTGGGATTGCTGCCTGGACAGAGGAGCAGGTCGCGTGTTGTTTGCAGAGGTGGGATAATATGATTCAGGGCTCAGCGTGGAGCTCTGGAGAGCGGAACCATAATCGGACGGGTATCTGGTTGGGGTAGGAGGTTCGGTGTAGCGCTCTGCGTTGTAGCTCCCTTGGCGAGGGGGGGACTGTCGCGTCGTCTGGGGCTGGTTGAGGTAGGAGAAGGAGGAAGGATTCGGCAATTTGGGACTTGCAACGTACCCAGGGCCAGTTGATTGAGCATTCATCGGGGAGTAGCGCTGAGCAGCTGTCGAGATCTCAGGAATATATTGGGTGGACAGGCGGTGTTGGTGAGTCGGTCGCGGAGGATATTTGGTTCGGTTATAAGGATCTGCGTCTTCCATGGGCACGTCGACTTCGCCGTTGTGCTCATATTGATGCGACTGCGTCTGGGGTGTGGTGTTGGCAGACATGGCTGCTCGGTCTTCCAGTAATCTGGCAGTCACTGTAATCAGGACAATTCGTATTTAAGAGAGTTCCGTGCCGCGATGGGGCTGAAAGCTGGGCTGCCGGTTCTTGTTATTTGTCCTGCCACAATCACCCCGTTGACACAGGCATCAAGCACGCACGATCGATGTAGTTATTGAGACCCTGGCAAACGCGCTCTCTTGCGGTGTGAATGAACCGAGATCGGCAGGGTTCGTTGGGCCTTCAGAGGGGTAGACAGAGTGGCGGAGTGACAATCGTAAGCGCAGTCAAGAAAGACTGGTGGACCCAGGGCGATATTCGACACATGGTAAAGGAGGGCAAGAAGGCTTAAAGTAAAGCCATGGTGCTGAGAAGTTGGTCGCTTCACAATTGAGGGTGTTCTTCTCTCAGTTTCGAGTGGAGGTGGAGGGATTTGGAAGTGGTGAGCTGGCAGAAAGACTCGAGGAATTGGTCAGCCCGACAATGGTGATAGAGGACCGTGGATGGACGATGGGGCCGACGACAGGCTAATGTGAGGCAAGAGAAGCTGTCTAGGTATCCCGATCTAATGTCACGACTATGAAATGGCACCGAATCGTCAAGAGGAAGTCTGGAGAATGTTTGGCGACGTGAGCAGTAGAGTCCGTTGTCGAGTTTAGTGCCTGGTGTGGTGTGCATCAGCCAGGACTGAAGTGCAGGCGGCTATTACCGCTCGTTATTGGGCACCCGTTATTGATGATTGGGGGGTGCTTGTCACAGCCTTCAGCTGAAACTTTGCTTTGGGGGTGCCCAAATTGCACCTTGTCCGCAGTGGCAGACCTGGGCAGGTATGCCGACAATTTCGAGGACCCCAAAATTTACGGTGACGCAGTGACTGTGTGAGGTGCAGTTCTCTATGGCAGCCTGATTTCGAGGGTGTAGAACTTTGCCCTTCTTTTGAGAAATATTCTTCCTGACCTCTGAGTGCTACTTTCATCGCAGAGAGAGACAGAGTCACATTGCACCCGTTTCTCTACTCCGAAACAAAGAATTATGCGCGAAGACATTCTTTCTGTCGGATCATTCATCACTTTCACTTTACATCCACCGAGTACAGGCCAGTATCTCCAATTGCCACCCTTCCAGGCCTTAAAGTGGCACCCATCTGTCCTAAGACATAAAAACACTATAACGTCACTTTCCTTTCATTTCGCTTCCTTCTTTACTGGTATCTACGGTCAAAGTCTTTGAGCGTATAAAGATTTCAGACGGCAAGCAAGGTCTCCACGTTGTGGTCATGACGACATTCGTTCTCCAAACTATGCGCCACTAAAGTCGAGACGCTTGCGATCATGGACATCGAAGGTGAGCAAGGAATCAGCTACCTTCCGACAGCTGAACACGATAAGATGGCCGAATTACCACCCAGCCAGTCGGCTGAAGCTCTCCGTCTGCGGAACCTTGACGCCCAGATGCGTGATCAGGATGACCTGGAACGAGACATCGGCCGGGAGGCAGATCGGCTCCTGTTTGAGCAAGCCCATCAACGAGACCAGCAGCGACTCGAGAAATCCGAGGCACAAAAGGAGAAGTTGCAGAATCAGATCAAAAAGACCAGAGATGACATGCTTCGTCCCATTGGAACTACTCAGCGAGCACGTTTGCGCCTCGATATTGACCGCATGCAGAGCCAAATACAGGACCTGGATAATGATATTGCTGAAATCAAGGAGAGAATGAAGGATCGAGAGAATAATGCAGGGGTGGCAGGTCAACATGACGCGTTGGCCGCAGGACGCTTGCCGAACGAAACTCAGCGTGACTATCTGATCAGGACTGGCAAAATCACTCCCTTCTCTAAATTTGGCCTGACAACTCATGGAGAATCTTCGACTACTTTGCAGGGAGCTCTTCTAGATGCTGAGGAGGAACCTGACCTTCCTGCCGATGTCGAATCTCGTGCAGAAGGCGCAAAGTCGATGTCTCACCGGAATTTGAGACCGCCTGGGTTTGCCACTGGTTTCACTGATTCAAGCACGGAAGACGACATTCAAGACGATCAGCCCCGAAAGCGGAGACGTCTCATCAATCAATTGCCCACAAAGGACGAAGACTCATCGTCGTATGACGATGGTGAAGTCGAAGACCAGGCCTTTTCGGAATCTGAAGATGAGTCTGATGACCAAATGCCAACGACCTCGGGAAAACGACAGAGAAAGGGTCGAAAAACGGTTGCTCACGTCGAGGATGAGATCGAAGACTTTCGTGGGGTCGATGATGGCAACGAATCTGTCTATAAGTCCAGGTTGCAGAAGTGGGCCGTGCGAAGACGGAGAGCCCGTAGGCACGCAACGCAAAATACTGCGGGAAATAGTCATGAACAGGGTGAAACAGAGGATCAGGATGCAGAGACTCTCGCAGAGGAGGAAGCATATCTCCCACATCCTGAAATACCAGACACTCTTTTTGATGACGGCTACAAGCTTCCGGGAGACATCTTTCCCAGCTTGTTCGATTATCAAAAAACTGGGGTGCAATGGCTCTATGAGCTGTACACCCAACAAGTTGGAGGAATTATCGGCGATGAGATGGGCTTAGGCAAGACGATCCAGATCATCGCCTTCCTCGCCGGCCTGCACTACAGCAAGAAGCTGGACAAGCCCATCATTGTAGTCTGCCCAGCTACCGTCATGAAACAATGGGTCAACGAATTTCATCGCTGGTGGCCCCCTTTTCGAGTCACTATTCTACATTCCTCCGGCAGCGGTATGGTCAACTTGCGGAACGAATCCAGCAAAGAAGACAGACTGTTGGATATTGAATGGGATCCAACTCGGAGACAACAACCACTCAACGCGGCCCAGAAGTCCGCTCGAAAAGTCCTACGCCCAATTTTAGAGGAAGGAGGTGTGCTCGTGACAACATACTCTGGTCTACAGACTTACGCGCCTCTATTAATCCCAGTCGACTGGCAATATGCTATCCTGGATGAAGGACACAAGATTCGAAATCCAAACACTGCCATCACCATCTACTGCAAAGAGTTACGCACTCCGAACCGAATCATTCTATCCGGGACCCCTATGCAGAACAATCTCATTGAGCTGTGGTCTCTCTTTGACTTTGTATTTCCAATGCGATTGGGCACTTTGGTCAATTTTCGCAACCAGTTCGAGATACCAATTCGACAAGGTGGATACGCAAACGCGTCCAATTTACAGGTCCAGACCGCCTTCAAATGCGCAGAAACACTCAAAGATGCCATTAGTCCATACTTGTTGCAACGTTTCAAGATTGATGTTGCCTCGGATTTGCCCAAAAAAAGCGAACAGGTTTTGTTTTGCAAGCTGACGCCTTTGCAGCGCGATGAATATAAGAGATTCATTGGCTCGGGTGAGATGGATGCGATCATGAATGGCAAGCGTCAAGTTCTCTACGGGGTCGATATCCTGCGTAAAATCTGCAATCACCCAGATCTGACCGATCACAAGCGTCTGTCGATCAAAGCGGGATATAACTATGGCGACCCCTCCAAGTCTGGCAAAATGAAGGTTGTTGGCTCGCTCCTAGAACTGTGGAAGGAAACTGGTCACAAGACACTTCTATTCGCTCAGCATCGCATCATGCTTGACATCTTGGAGAAGTATGTAAGATCGCTTTCAGGGTTCAAGTACAGGCGTATGGACGGAAACACGCCTATCCAACTTCGACAAAGCATGGTAGACGAGTTTAACACGGACCCGGGCCTGCATGTCTTTCTCTTAACAACCAAGGTCGGCGGACTCGGGATAAATCTGACAGGTGCAGACAGAGTCATTATCTACGATCCTGATTGGAACCCTTCAACCGATCTGCAAGCCAGAGAAAGAGCCTGGCGACTGGGACAGAAACGCGAAGTAGCTATTTACCGTCTCATGACTGCAGGTACCATCGAAGAGAAGATCTATCATCGCCAGATATTCAAGCAATTCCTGACGAACAAGATTCTCAAGGATCCGAAACAGCGGCAGACATTCCATCTGAGTGATCTGCATGATCTCTTCAGTCTAGGGAATGAAGGAGAACCAACCGAAACAAGCATTCTGTTTAAGGATGCACAGGTCAAGCATCCTTCTACCTCGCCCGATGCTCCCGCCACCAGTAGCATGACCAACAAAAGCGAGCCAACAAGCATCGCAGGTGACACCACGATCGGGGCTTTGCCAGGTATATTTTCCATGGAGCAATATGCCGGAGAAATTGAGGAAGAGGAGCAGGCAAACAAGGAGGGTGCCAACAACTCCGAAGACAAGATGATGGAAGGCATCTTTTCGCGAGCAGGTATTCACTCAGCGGTAGAGCATGATACAATCATCGACGGAAAATCTGGAAAGAAGGTTGCAGCTGATCCGGTTTTGGTTGAGCAGGAGGCACGAAAGGTGGCTGCCGAAGCGGCCAGAGAATTGCGACGCGCTGGTGAGGTTGCCCGTACGGTCCCCATCGGGACACCCACCTGGACCGGACAGTTTGGTATTTCTGGCCGTCCTCAAGAGACGACGGCACAGAGAGCTTTCAGCTCCAATACCCGGAACAGAGGTGGCGGAGTTCAATCGTCCAGTCTCCTGGCAAACTTGCAACAGCGCCAAGGACTTGCACCGAGCAGAGACAGCACTCCAAGAACAGCGAGTCCTGCAAGATCGACAGACTCGACTGCTTCAGTTTCTAGAGGTGCAACACCGACTTTGCCTCAAGGCAAGGACTTTGGAAAACTCATCCGGGATTACCTCACCACCCATGGTGGAAGTGTATACACCCAGATGCTGATCGACCATTTCAATCGCTTCTGCACCACTCCTCAGGCGACGCTGGAGTTCAAGGAGACCTTGAAGCTGATTGCCAAGCTGGAAAAAGGGAGCCGAGGGCGCGGGCGTTGGGTGCTGAAGGATGAATATAAGAAGTAGAGCTAGAGACCTCCCACGATCAAAGCGTCAAGATCGCCTACTTCAAAGCATTTGTTTGGCTCTTTCTCCTGAGTTCCATCAATCACTCTCGTCTAGAAGTCCTTGGGGTGACCAGTATTCCGGCTCTGGACACTGGTAGTCCACCCATACCAAAGAATCGGCTAGTAGATCTTGCACAGCTGTCTCGGCACGAGCCCGTTCCCAGCCCAGGTTGACCTGAAGCAGGGACACTGTTACACTGCCAAGTAGTTGTAAAACTTCCAAAACGGTGGATTGATCTGTGTTGAATTCTTTTGGCACCGATCGGATGAACCTCTTGTTGGCGATGGTGAGAATAACAAATCCCGACCCAAGGGGTTCCAGCGACTTAACAGCCCTCTCGATATCATCCTCTGACACTTGCAGACCACCACCAATGGCTTTCCCCTTGGCCACACTCTCACAGCACTCCTTCAGTCCAATCAATCCGCCATTTTCTGCCCTCGTCGCCTGGCATAACTCCACAACTCTCACGGCAACTGAAAAGTAGAAGTCGTTGACATCATGCCCCAGGACCTTGGCCCAGAGCGAATCCGCCTTTTTACCTTTGATGTTGGAGCCGGCTAGAGGATCGACACCGATGGCATTGCACATTCGTGCGAACTCTGCGCGGAATGTTGGGTTCGATTTGATTGTCGCCGCATGTTCGAGTGCGAAGTTATGGAGGAGAGACTGGAAAACCTCCAGCTGTGCCTGAAGCGAGGCTGCGTTGGCGGATTTCAAGTTCGAGCCATGTGCAGCGTAGGATTGAGCGGTAGCATTTCTATTCGTGAAGGCACCCAAGCCGACCCCTCTCCTGGTCGACATTGCTGATATCTGAGGTTGAAGAGCATCAGTCTGAGCATAGGTTGCCTTGGTTGTCACAAGGGTAAAGGGTGGATTGTTGGGCAAACATGCCAAGAATGCAAATGTGACCTTTCCGTTTTTGGTTTAGACTTGGAATCACCCACAACTCGAATTTGATTCCAGCGCAGTTGAAACTTTTTGATGTTCCTACTCTTCATCAACTCTTCATCACAACCTTGCCGTCGTTCAACCGCATCTTCAAACACGATGACGAAGCCAATTGTGAAGTCGTGAGTCTCTCTTACCATTCTGCTGACAGTTGGTATCCTCAGATATGGTCCGCAATCTTTTCGCTGGTTTCGCTGCCGCTGTTCCAGCTCGATCATCCCGATGCCTATCCGACTTGTGAGAAATCACGGCTTGGAACAACCGGGGCTTTGAGGTTAGAGGACTCAACCCTTCTTCCTTGAAATATATTGAGCTTGTATGACATGCTCGCTTGGTCGCAAGACCTGAGCACCTGTTATGGAGCTACAATCTTTCCTGATCTCCGATCGGGGCATTGTCAGTTGAGAGTTTTAAGATTTGGACTTTTGAGTCCCATCTTTTCTCACTGATCAAATTCATTTCGTCGAGTTCACGCCAAAACATCCAGTTTGAGAATGCCGCGCCATAGCTGCAGTTCCGACTCGGCGATCACACCACCTGCGGACTATACTGATTCGATTCCCTCCCGTACAGATCTGTGCCGACGCAGGACCAGGTCCTGGTGCCTGAGACCCTGTTGAAGAAGAGGAAGAGCCAGGAGAAGGCCAGAGAACAGCGTGCCGCAACGCTTGAGAAGAGAAAAAAGGTTGGTCCATTGTCCCCTTTTTGCCTGGAAAATAATGTGGTGATGATAAATACCACTGCGCGGCTAGACCTCAGGTCAATGTTGTCGCTTTGTTATACCATCTTTCGGGGCTGAACATTCATGCCGCCTCCACAATGCGTGATCATCTGGAGATGGCGTACATCCGGCTAACATGTCATGATCAGGCCAACAAGGAGAAGCGTGGCGTCATCTTCAAGCGTGCGGAGACATACGTCAAAGAGTACCGTGATGCCGAGCGAGAGAAGATCAGGGTCGCTCGCCTGAGCCGGCAACAGGGAAACTTCTTTGTTGATGAACAACCCAAATTGGTTTTCGTCGTCAGAATCAAGGGGTGAGTCTTTCATTCACGCCTTTGCAAAGCAACTGCTAACTGTCGTCAGTATCAACAAGATCGCCCCCAAGCCTCGCAAAATTCTCCAGCTCCTCCGCCTGCTCCAGATCAACAATGGTGTCTTCGTCAAGTTAACCAAGGCCACGCAAGAGATGCTTACCATTGTCAACCCCTACATTGCTTACGGCTATCCCAACCTCAAGACCGTTCGCGAGCTCATCTACAAGCGCGGATATGGAAAGATCAACAAGCAACGCATTGCTCTCACTGACAACCAACTTATTGAGGACAACCTGGGCAAGTACGGCATTGTGTGCATGGAAGACTTGATCCACGAGATCTTCACTGTTGGACCGAACTTCAAGCAGGCCAGCAACTTCTTGTGGCCCTTCAAGCTATCCAACCCCAACGGTGGTTTCCGTGCCAGGAAATTCAAGCATTACATCGAGGGTGGTGATCTGGGTAACCGAGAGGAGGCTATCAATGCTCTGATTAAGCAGATGAACTAGATTTGACAGCTGGGCTTCGAGTCGTGGCCCGGATTTCTGGCCTCTAGTTGCGATCAGCGTCTGAAGCTTGTAGGCTTCCGAGCATCAATGGATCGACGGATCGATGCATGAAAAGGGTACCGGCGCTAGCTTTTGCCATGCCAGTTTAGGCGTTAAGTATCACTGAAAGCCGGTGAAAAATGAGATGAGACAAGTTTTCCATGATAATTTTGTTCAACTTTTGTTCCATCATTCGTAGTCGTACTTGTAGTAGCGTCAAGTAGCGTGAAATCCGAGACCAGGTCTTGGGAAACGTCACGGGGCGCAGATGCAGGGGATCACGATGTTGTCCCACCACAATAAGCAACACCTCAGAGCATGTTAGAACATCATTCCTAAGCTGCCACACACGACCTCGTATTGCAGTGCTGCCTAACCCAAGGGCTACTTCTTCATATCACAATCTACAACGGCCTTCAACCTAGGCTCTAATGCTTCCATCAAATAGCAGCGCGACGAAAAGCCATGCATCACAGCATCACTGTTCCACGCTTTCTTCTCCGCCCATTGATATGTTTTACTTGGATATTGAGGTAGCGGTTGACAGGCAATAGATCGCGCCGTTGGACTCGAGGAGTCCAGCAAACTGATAGGTCTTTGTTTCCAGGACACCATTCCAGGTGCCCAGCTCAACGTTGTGACACATCACTAACCCGATTTCCAACTTGTCACGAGTCACCCTCAATACGAGTTCTCATGTCAAGCCACCATGCGTTGCACCTACAGCCGCAAGCGCGACGAGTTGACTTGCAGAAGCAGTTTCTCGATGTAAGAAGGCCACTCACACAGTGTCTACAGATGGCAAACAGGGCCTTCAGCCGCAATGAGGTAGGGATGCGCAACCCATGCAATGGAGGGTGATATCCTCCTGTCTGGATGACATGTGTCAACCACTCAGTACGTTGGGCCCTCTCAGCAACACTTGCACATGCATCAAACGTTGTCTCGGGCGTTGTGGTATATCTACCCTGGGGACGACTGACAATAATTGCATCTTGTTGTGTACTACTACTGACTACAGGTTCGCAATACACACGGTTCTCCTCGCACTATATGCTAGGTCTGAAATTCCTTGACAGAAACGTTGATCGGAGGATTTGGATATTTGATGCGCGCTGGCCTTCACGACCTGCGCGATCCTACGATCCGGGATCTTCAATTCATTCGCAGAGCTCATATGCACCACGGTCTGTGAGTGTTAGCCATACTGCCGGCATATTACCAGGTTAGGCAGCGTGTGGACAAAAGCGCCTCGAATTGGTTCTCCAAACAGTTTCCGCCGATTCAATGGCTCTGCCTGAGCTGATCCTCGAATTCTTGCAACATTCGTGGACAGCCCTGCTCCTAGGATGTCTCATTGCTAGACTTTTGATCAACAAATATGGAGGAAATCTGAATTCAATCCCCGGCCCTTTCATTGCAGGCTTCTCAAATCTTTGGCGTGTGCTAAACACCCTCCTTTTCAACCCAGCTGAGACACAAATCTCGTTGCAACGAAAGCACAACTCACGTTTTGTGAGGATTGGTCCTCGTGTTGTGTCCATTTCTGACCCAAACCTCATACCGACCATCTATGGGATCAAGTCAGACTTCAAAAAGACCAAGTTTTATTCCATCGCCGAACTGTGGTACGAAGGTAGATGCACGCCGGGTCTGTTTGAGAGCCGCGATGAAGCCTACCACGCGCAAATCAGGAAGCCTATCGTGAATGCATACAGTATGTCTACGATCCTCGAGGTTGAGCCGGCGGTCAACTCGACTGTTGCATTGCTTATATCTAAGCTGGACCAACTTGCTGCTTCTGGAAGGCCCCTAAACTTGGGATTGTGGCTATACCGTTTTGCATTTGATGTCATGTAAGTTGTGCCCGTCCTTGGCACAAGGCTTTTGCTCACATGGTTTGGTAGAGGCGAAATCCTGTTCAGCAAGAAAATCGGCTTCCTCGAATCGGAAGTTGACGTTGAAAGCATCATGATTGGGATTCGCGGCTTTACCAAGTATTTTCAGTTGGTAAATCATTGCCAGTTTGTCATCGCGATTTCTTTGCGATAAACTGACCGTTTTACACTCTACAGGCTGGACAAATCCCAATCGTGGACCGGTTTCTCTTGAAGAATCCTCTGATGCTGAAATACGGGCCAACCAATCCAATAGTCACTTTCACACTCAACCGAATAAGAGACAGGGTGGCCTGCAGGACAAATGAGGGTCAGATAGAACGCGACTTTCTCGAGAGATGTTTCGAAGCCCAAGCCAAATACCCGGAGGCTGTGACGGACAGGATGATCATGCTGTACAACTTTGACAACATTGCTGCCGGGTCTGATACGACCGCATTGGCATTGACTGCGGTGAGATTTCGTGTTCACTTGGTCTTTTATTCATCTGACAATGGCATTCTCATTTTTCTAGGTCATGTATTATCTTCTCAAGAATCCGGAAACTTTGCAAAAGGCCGTCGAGGAGCTCGATTGTGCGGAGAAAGAGTGCCGGCTAAGCGAATACATAACGTGGAATGAGGCGAGCAAGCTACCCTACCTGCAGGCCTGCATCAAGGAAGCAATACGCAAGTCCCGCTTCTTCTGAATCCTCCCAGAGACTTGTTCTGACAATTACAGGCATGCATCCCCCTATTGGCCTTATCCTCGAACGATACGTCCCAAGCGGAGGTACTTTCCTCGAGGGTCATTATTTCCCCGAAGGAACGACTGTGGGAGTAAATCCATGGGTTACGGCGTCAGTTAGATCTCTATTGCTTCATCTTCGACCCTTTTCAAGTCCTCTCGAAATCGCTGACCAGCAAACCATAGACGAAATAAGGAAGTGTACGGCGAGGACTGCGATAGTTTCAGGCCGGAGCGATGGCTTGAGGAATCAGAGGAACGACTTGCGGCAATGGAGAGAGCCAACTTTGCGGTATGAAGTTCCTCTATCTTTTATACAGCCCGTTGGCGCATGCTGGAGACACTGACTATGCTCACAGTTTGGTTATGGAAAGCGTGGATGCTTGGGTAAGAATATTGCCATGTTGGAGATTTCTAAGCTAGTGCCGCAGCTGCTTCGTCGCTACACGGTATGTTCGTTCTCATGATGCGTCTGTCGGGTTCTGGTTTGTACTCACAGTTCACTCATGGACTAGTTCTCATTGGCGCGTCCTGATCTGAAGTGGAAGGTTCGTGGCGGCTGGATGGTACGGCAAGATGGTGTTGAAGTTGCTCTCAGAAAACGCATCCAAGGACCAGACTAGGTTGAGGTCTTGTGTGGAGGGAAATGAGTACCGAGTACAAGGTGGTCAGTGAGACTTTGGAGTTTCTAATCATGGTTAATATCTGCCAATATGTCTGATGGAAGGAATATAGAGTTCATCGTACTCGTTGCCCAACAGTTGGGGACGTTATTCTGCTTCGAGTCAAGATCTCAGGCACCAGCGAGCTAAGATGCATTTCTGCCTTGCACCAAACCAGATTTAAATACGACAGAGCTTTGGAGATCTGCATGGGGCCGCTTATTGGAGACTTATAAGATCCATCATCCCTATGTGATTCTGTATTGTGATATTATGCTTGTATTGTGTCTTAGAATCTTGATTTTTTCTTGACTTGGAGCTCACCACATCAGCATTCCACAACTCTTTCTCAGCCACCACCTTCCGTCACAACCTTCCGAGTCCCCCACGACTGACAAAGAACAAGATGAGCGGCCCAACAGAGAAGAAAAAGACCTTCACAGGCTCCTGCCACTGCGGCTTCATCAAGTACAAAGCGACCTTTGCGCTGAGCGACCCTCCCACCGCGGGCCGGTGCAACTGCACCATCTGCCTGAAACAAGGCTTCACGGGCATCCGCCTCCCGCGCTCGGACTTTGCGTTGGTCTCGCCCGCGTCGCTGTCCGAGGCGCGCGACTACCAGTTCCGCTCGCGCGACGTGCACAAGTACTTTTGCGGCACATGCGGCGTCCACGTCTGCGGCGAGGGCCGCTTCGAGTTCCCCGCCGGCTCGGGCACCATACACGACTTCTTCTCCATCAACGCTGTCACCCTCGACCAGCCCCAGGAGGGGCTCGAGCTGAGTAAATTCAAGATCTCATATGTCGATGGGAGGCATGATAATTGGGGCGCGGGGGCAAGGGATGTGCCCTGGCCAGGGGGGATTGTCTGAGTCTGAATCACGAAGAAAGGGCAGGCCATAGGGGAACATACAGGAGGACTAATGGTAGGCAGAAGGGGGGGGGGGGGAGGAGGAGTCGAGTGCCAGGGTTCTCTTTCATTCTGGGACGGACTGGGTTTTCTAGTCCGCTTCACTGAACTGATTCATGGCTATGTTCCTATAGGGGTACAGTCATAAGCTACACCCAGGATGGGCCTTCTCCCCCAAAGCTTCACTGAATAGCTGGTGCTTCATAACTTCCACTGTCTGGGTCTATCAAGCCAATGCAATCATGTTCTCTATTCGCTCCTTGCAACACGTGCAAAAACTCATCGCACAAGTCATCTCCGATGGCGAAAACGAGGATTGTCGACCTCAGACTGGGATGGAAGCCGCTCGTATTCTGTGATGTCTCGGTGCCGAAGGAAGATCTGCTCGGCTCATCATGAGTAGAGTAGTCCGTGTGATTCAATCAAACCAGTAGCAGGTAGAGTGCCTGTTAGGACCATGTTCTGGACACACTAGGCTGTGGAAGCAAAGTAGGTGATGATTATGATACAAGCTTCAGACATAACAGTAGCAATCATCCGAATGCCTGAGCGATCGACCTTACTTATTTTGGTCTCAGGCCTTGACGCCCAGGTACTACGAGATACATGTACTACCACGTAAAGGACCACTTACGAGGAGGGAGAAGGAAAGCGAATACCGTGGTTGGACGAGTGGTAGTAGGAGATTTCAATCGGCACGACTAACTTTGGTGAGGGGCGTATTATGGCACAGAGAGGAGGAGATGCTGATTTGATCATCGATGTGATAAACGACACCACTATTGACTTGGTCCTCGTCTCCGAGGAACTGAAAGACGCCACGGTCAGAGGCAGAATCAGGGTCGGATCAGCACTCGTTGACGTCGGTTCTTAATGCCAAGAAATATGTCGGTTCACTTTCCTCTTGTGGTATAGCCAATTGCTAGCGGCGGCGGCGGCTGCCTTTCGCCTTTTCGCCTTCGCTGTATTTGTAAAATTTCAACCCTCCGCCCCCTTCTTTACACAACAATCTTCTCTCACCTCTTTGTTCACTTTAACCCTTTTTTCCCTCTCTCACACAATCTCTCACGCTCTCATTCCATTTAGACGAAGAATTGACTCTGTATAATTGATTCTTACCCTCCTTCCCTCTCATTTCTGACATTACAGAGAAACGACGCATTTCGGCGCCCATCATGTCTTACGGTGGCTACGGTTCATCAAGAGACGGCGGTTATTCTAATGGGTATGTGAAAATCTCTCAAATTCATCGTTGTCTGCGTCACAAATGTCCCGCGCCCGACTTGCAGGTCTTGGATGGCCTGGCGCAGACTGATTTTTTACTTTTTTCTGGATCGTAACTAACAATTCCGCAGATACGGCGGCGGCCATGGCGGCTACTCCAACGGATACACCAACGGCTACGGCGGATCCAACGGATACTCTGGCGGCGGCGGCGGCGGCGGCGACAAGATGTCTAACCTGGGCGCAGGCCTGAAGCAGCAAACTTGGGATCTGAACAATCTACCAAAATTCGAAAAGTCATTCTACAAGGAGGATCCCATAGTTACGGCCAGGTCACAACGCGATGTCGATGAGTTCCGCAGAAAAAACGAGATCACAGTTCAAGGTCGCAATGTCCCACGACCAGTCGAAACTTTCGACGAAGCCGGATTCCCCAGTTATGTCATGTCTGAAGTCAAGGCCCAGGGCTTCACAAAACCTACTCCGATTCAATCTCAAGGCTGGCCTATGGCTCTTTCTGGTCGTGATGTCGTCGGTATTGCCGAGACCGGATCAGGCAAAACCCTGACCTACTGCCTTCCCGCAATCGTTCACATCAATGCTCAGCCACTCCTTGCCCCCGGTGATGGTCCCATTGTCCTTGTTCTTGCCCCGACTCGAGAACTCGCCGTTCAAATCCAGCAAGAAATCACCAAATTTGGCAAATCTTCCCGGATTAGGAACACTTGCGTCTATGGAGGTGTTCCTAAGGGTGGGCAGATCCGCGACCTTACTAGGGGTGTGGAAGTGTGCATCGCTACTCCGGGCCGTCTCATTGACATGCTCGAGTCTGGAAAGACAAACCTGCGCCGCGTCACTTACTTGGTTCTCGATGAAGCTGACCGTATGCTGGACATGGGCTTCGAGCCACAAATCCGCAAGATTATTGGCCAAATCCGTCCCGATCGACAAACCTGCATGTGGTCCGCAACGTGGCCCAAGGAAGTCCGACAGCTGGCCTCCGACTATCTCAATGACTTCATCCAGGTCAATATCGGCTCGATGGATTTGTCGGCAAATCACCGAATCACCCAAATTGTCGAAGTTGTGTCCGAATTCGAGAAGAGAGATCGTATGATCAAGCACCTTGAGCAGATCATGGAAGATCGCAACAACAAAGTCCTCATATTCACTGGCACCAAACGTGTGGCTGACGAAATCACTCGATTCTTGCGTCAAGACGGATGGCCCGCACTCTGTATGATTTCTCCCTTCTATCCTCTGTTTTGATTATGAGCTGACGGTCGACAGCTATTCACGGTGACAAGCAACAGAATGAACGTGACTGGGTCCTGAACGAATTCAAAACTGGCAAGAGCCCAATCATGGTCGCTACGGATGTCGCATCCCGTGGTATCGGTATGAACAAACAGCAATCCCCTTCCCCCGTCCCTTTTCCCTATTATATTTTCTATCTTGTACCTCTTACCATTGCCGTCGTGTGGAATGGTGCCGCGCTCTCTTCCCGCTTGTTACGCTCTTGCGTTGCGTAACTTGTCCAGGCTTTTGTGTTCTCGTCGGTCCTTTTCTGGAAATCCTGGATTCTCTTGCAGTTTGCCGGGACTCTTGTTCCTGACATCTCTACATCTGCTTTGTCCAACACGAGTAGGTTGTGGGACACATTTACTTTGACCAGATCAAACTGCAAATCCAGGATCTTTCGCCCCCAAGGACCGTAGACGCTTGCCGATCTCCCGGACATGGACATTTGTCACCACAAGGATAATGCTCCGAGCTTCAGAGAGTGACATGCACCTCCGCTCACACGACCACACATGGTCCCCGGCGCCCCGTAAGACCACCAATGGCTGAGTTGCTAACCTTTACTTGAAGATGTTCGAGATATCACTCATGTGTTGAACTATGACTATCCCAACAACTCGGAAGATTATGTTCACCGAATCGGCAGAACAGGCCGAGCTGGCAAAAAGGGCACAGCCATCACGCTCTTCACTACAGAAAGTACGTATCCTTACACCCTCACACGTGGTATAAATTGCTGACCTTTTTTCCTTCTAGATGCCAAGCAAGCTCGTGACCTACTTTCGGTCCTCCAGGAGTCGAAGCAAAGCATCGAACCTCGTCTCGCAGAAATGGCACGCTACTCTGGCGGCGGTGGCGGCGGCCGTGGCTATGGTGGTCGTGGCGGTCATCGTGGAGGCCGTGGCGGCTTCACTGCTTCCAACGCTGCGCCCCTTGGCCGGTCCAGGTGGTAACCGATAGGTCGGTCGAGCCAACTGCTCGCAGCGACACGCAAACGGTGAGAACGATCACAAGCGGTTCGCTCACCTCGCAAGTTGCCGACATTGCACCTTTCCTTCATCATTCAAAGAGACTCTAGACTTGTTTTGTGCATTACTGCCATATCAGGCTCAGGCGTCAGGAAGCACAGGGAGGGGAAAGATAGATTGCGTCCACTTTACATTAGCTGGGGAGGACCCTTGTTCACCCCTGGCGGCAGGTTTTACGCATTCATGGGATTTTGATGGGTTACGGGAGCAGTTGGGGCTCCTCACTTGAGAAGAGTTGAGCAAAATGGGGATAGAGCTGGTGTCAATGACGACTCACATGGCTCCACCGAATTTGGAACAGGGAGAGAGACAGTTGTGATACGGAAGGCATGATTTTCCACCGGCAGTGCAGCATTGTGATGATCGATCAAAAGAACAATAGAGATAGAAGTACTTGCTACATAGCTTGAGTGTAAAATCAGAAACGTGCATTGCCGTGGATGAGATTTTGTATTCACGTGGTCAGTAAGTTGTGTAAGCAGGGAAAGGCGAGGATGTTGAGAATACAGGGCACCTCGGCGGCAGCATATAACCACGAGACATATGGACGCTGCCGAAGCCGCCCAACGCGCGAAGGTATAGGGGAGTTTCGAATTGGTTATTATGTGTCTCACATCGGCGTTAAATGACTAGGAAAGTGAAACTCACGAGGGCACGCATTTGCTCCTGCTAGGGGGGATAAACTCGACGTGCATTCAATGGTGTAATATGGTGTATCATGTATAGTGTATAGTGACCGTATATATGAGATATGTACAGTACTACTCAGTAGGTCACACAGAACAGACTTTCAGGGCTTTCTTCCTGGTGAATTCGACAACACAAAGCATCATCATGATCCCCGTTCCCGTCCTTTTTTTGGGTGGCCAGCCAAGAGGCCTGATAGGCAGATAGATACCGTAGATAGATACTCTATCTAGATGATCACTGTATGTACCCTTGTCTTTTCGGGCCAATACCCCCTGGAGCGTTCTAGAAATGTGTTTCGGCCTGTTCGAGGTATGTAGGTTCGTTTAGGGGTTTTGTTCTGTTGTGTGGCAGGCCAGAAGAATCAAGAAGCCGTGGCCTGGCTCCAGTTGAACCCTCGGCGATGCGTTCATGGCTCGAGAGTAGCGCTTCCCTTCCCACGGTGGGGGAGTTGTCCTCTGCAACCAGGAGAAATGCGATCTCAGCGCGCCAAAAAGATGGCCTGTGGCTGGGAGGGGATTGCGCAATTGTTCAAAGGCAGGAAAACGTTTCTTTGCGTCAATTAGTAGTAATCCTCGCCAAATGCTTCGTTGATGAGGCTGGCAACCCGGTGCCACGCTGCGGCGGTGTCGTCGTCCGTGTCTTTGACGACCATCAACTTCCACGGGCGCAGGTAGAAATAATCCTCCTCTTTGCCGGCCTTGGAGGCTTCGAACCGGTTGTACATCTGGGAGAAGATGGCCTCCATGCCCTTCTTGTGCTTCAATCTCTCGGGTTTCTTGATCTTGACGAGTGGCTGTCGGCAGAATTCCAAAACGAGCGCCGCGATGCCGGCGGCGACGGGGCAAGCGACCGACGTGCCTGATACCCTCTTGGTCGCCTGTCCCGTGTAGGGCGTTTCCACGTACATGCCCAGGGTGCTGAAATTGTGGGCGTCGTCGCTGGAGGGCAAGGGATTGTTCTTCCACGGGCCGCCTCCCCCATGCGCGGCGTGGATCGCGATCACCTCCGGACGCTTCGCCGGGTACGCTCTGCCGTCGTTCCGGCCTGAATTGGACGCGGCGGCGAACAGCAACACCTTGTCTTTGATTTCTTCAAGTTTGGCAGACATGGCCTCTTTTGTCTTTTTGTCATTTTTCGATATGGCGAACGACATGCTGATGATGTCGACTTGCCAGTCGTTCACTGCGTGCTCGAGAGCCTAAAGTGTCGATTAGCAATGCTCTTTTGGGAAAGAAGAGAGGACTGGCCTCGATGATGTAGTCTCCATTGACGTGCTTCCGATCTTTGAAGACACGCGCAATGTAAATGTCGGCGTTGGGCGCCACTTTGTGCGCAACCATCGCACAGGTTGTTCCGTGGCCGTCTTCGTCCTGGTCCGCCCGCCAGTCCGTCGATGGAGGGGCCCAGAAGCCTCGCAGACGTCGTTCTTTGGCAGTTCTCTGTTTAAGTTTCTGCACTTCCGGGTGCTCCGTGTTGAGCCCTGTGTCAAGGATAGCAATACGTGGTCGGAGACCTGCTCCCGAGTTGAGGACTCTGAAGCCATCGAGAAAAGAATGGGTTTCTTTCAAGTGTACTGAGAACCATTCATCGGTGCTGTTCCCGCTTAGCGACGTCAATCTGGGACGGGGAGGGACTTGCTCTTTAGATTCAGTCTCATCGCAAGCTAGAAGAGCCGCATCTGAGAAGTCGGCATCAATGGTGTCGGAACGGATCACGGCTCTGCTAGACGAAGTCTCAGGACCACCATGATCAACAGACCTCGCCCGTATTGTCTGCTGAGGAGGGGCCAAAGGGGATGCATTTGCCACAGGCCTCGATGGGTCGCCAGCGCGTAGTGAGGGAGTCTGGGAGCCACGCAAGCAGGCGAACTTCGAGACATCGTTTGTCTGTTGATCCCTTTGCAAGCCGAGCGGTTTCGCAGGAGGTCGAGGTCGCGTTCTCGGCGACTGGATCGGCCGTCCTCTGAAAGCAACAGGCTGCGAAGTTCCTTCGGGCAACTGTGCAGAAGAGGTTCTTGACCGAGGGAAGCTCGTGTTGGAGCCTTGATCCAATGATGAGACCTTCTGAACAGACGCCGAGTTCGATACTCACTTGTATCACCTGCGATGCATATTCCAAGGCCCACAGCCTCGTTGTCAAAGGTATCAGCTGTAGAAGATGGGAGTCGAACCTCTGGGGTCGTCTGAGGGCTGTAGATCGGAGATCCAGTGGCCGCGGTGACGGGCACAGTCTTGTCGCGTCTGTTTGCCTTTGCTTTCAACCGATCCATCCGCTTCTGGATGTTCCTCCGCTCCCACTCAAGTACACGGCTGTGATTTTCTCGTATCGAGTCGGTAGTTTCGTGTTTTCGGCCAAGGCCTTCTACACTCACCTCGAGTGCGTTCTGGAGGATGTCCAATGCATCCTTGCCGCGATTCCGGGAAAGAAGCATTTCCACGACTGCGATTTGGAGGTGTAAAACTTGATTCAGGATAGCCTTTTCGACGTCTGTGTCGGGTTCTATTCGATCGAGCAGGTCATGGTGAATGTCGATCGCCTGGTCAATCTTGCCCTGATTTGTCAATGCTTCGGTGAGATGGGTTCGTATAAGCAGCACATTGGGATCGCCCGGTGCAAGCCACCCGTCTACAAGCCGGAGCATCTCACTGTAACGTGCTTCGACAGTCTCCCAGTCTTCAATGTCAGTCGCGTGGATGGCCTTCTTTTCAATTCGGCGCAGTTTCTCGATCCTTGTCGGGTCAACCCCAGTGTCCTTGTCTTCTGTGTTCATAGTCTCCATCCTCGTCATGCTGGGCGATAAATCGCATCGAGAAAGGCATGGACCAGCAACAATCAGCGGGACATATGAAGAGATATACGTTGTTCATCATAAAGTACATGAAATTCGAGAATGAGGCCGAGTCATTCGAGGGACGCCAAGACGATATCTTGGCGGTACAAGAGGACCTGAACTGCTCGCAGCTCCCAGCACGCTCACCGACACGGCGCCGCTTTTAAAAACCACCTGCTCACGACTCACGCTTCTCTCACCTCTTCTCACCCTTCGACTCACCCGCTCTCCGATGGTCTGATTTCTGCGGCGGTACCCTGGGCGCCTGTTCCCACGACGGGGCCCATGGGCGACACGGGTGGATCCATTTTTGGGTCCCTGTGTTCAGCTCGTCGCGTCGACTCTGTCCGTCCCTGCCCTCATCTCGCCGACCTCACGTACAAAATGGCGTCTATCCCGGCTGCCGGCCTGCAGGTGGTCACCCTCTCTTTCAGGTCCCGGGTCCCCTATTTCTCCCCCCCCCCCCCCCCAGCTCTTTCACGAATAGCTGTCGATCAACGAGGGTCGAACCTCCTTCTCTGCCGTAACGATGAGCCGGCCCAACGATCCGACGGACGAACTCTAGGCTCGTGCGGAAGCCCATGGCTACGAGCCTGGCGCACATATTGAAGCCGATGAAGGCTGGGACGCCGATAAGTACGTTTCCACAACGAAGCAGAATCACAAGGTGACGTTGCGCCGATACCTACGGTACGTAGCTCCGAACTATCCGTGTCCCTCTATTGTCCTCCTTCCTCAGCTAAGCCGACCCTGACGAACTGTACTAGATGGCCGTCTTGGAATCATGCGAAAAGGCCATCAGCGGCAGGGACTCCCGCCTCCCGACGAGGACGGAGCCCGCCAACAGTATCTGGCTGGGGGAGTTGCTGCACTAGATCTAACCGCCGTCAAAGACTTCATTCGATTCTACATCTCCACTTGCTTTCCAGTGCTGGAGGGAGGGCTCCCGAATCCGACGTCGACCCCCGATGCCATCTGTACCGTGGCCGAGTTTCTCTTCGCCGGCCTTTTTCGGTCTACTAAATCCGCAAGACCGGGGTGAGGTGTACTACGTAAGACAGGCTCTCCTCTGATCGACATTGGAGTCCGTATTCCGAAAGGACTTATGGCTGATACTGGCTCAGTGGATACGGCGTACCCTCGTGCGCGAGGGTCTCGTCTTGAACAAGCATGGACCGAAGCATAACTTCACGGTTCGGGACCTGACCCATGTCCTCCTTACGCTTTGGACTTGCGACGATTTAATCTTCATCCACGAACGGTACCGAGTCTAAGCTACGTTCCTTATATACGTCTACTGTTGGACGGGTGTCCGCGTTGGAGCATTCTTTACCGACGGACTGCGCTACAAGGTAGATTCCCCTTCCTGTCCATCTTGGATTCATAGGTTAACTGGACAAGGATGTCGAGCTCATCCTACAACGCGTTCATAACAGTATAGACGGCCGTGATTGGGGACTGGTCTATAAGATTGACTGACGCTGGGTGAAGAACAACCGCGATCCTGACAACGTAAGGTAGGTGACCTCCGCTCTTCTATTCTCGGCGCTCTCTGGGACTCTCTTTCTCGTGCTGACGATACGGCCTGATGTCAGATTCGGAGCGGCCGCAAAGGAACATGCGAGGCTCTTCTATAACGACGCCGGGCTCCTTCTCTCAATGGCTATTGCCGATGGTGCTCTGTTCGGCTTCGACACGATCGACGACGTCCAACAGCAGGTCATTCCCCCGGGCGAGGACGAGCTGATCCTCAGATTCAAGAGCGAAATGCAGGCGCAGCCTATCTGCCGCCAATGCACCAGAACTGGAATGACAAACAAGCCGATACCGAAAAAAGCGTTTCCTCCATCTTCAAGAGTACCCCCGTCAATGCCAGTTCCTTTTAGAGCCCGTCCATTCTTGCCATCAGGCGACAGCTGGGGAAGGGAGCCGACAGTAAGTGTCCTGCTCCGTCATTTCCGGTCTCACTACTGACATGCAGTTTCAGGACGACATACCTCGGTCGAGCGATTGCAGCACCTGACCCAAGCCGATCCTCGCGTTTTCGTCCAGAGCAACCCAGCTAACTGTTCCTCGGTGGACAGCTAAGCGGCCTTTCGGGGCAAAGAGAATGATCAACGACACATCGACTATTTTCAGGGTCTTGAAACTTCCATAAAGATGGCTTACCTAGTGAGCTTCCAGCCCATCTCGAAGGTGAATTAAAACACGACACCTACCTCTGCTATCTGGAGGCCGAGGTACAGAGGCTGAGGGGCTCTGATGGCGATAATTCGTCGTTCAGCGCTGCCTTACGGCGGGCCACCACACATTGGAGGAAGCTAAAGTGCGACGCCCTGCGCTTACATCAGGAGACTTGGGTGTAAGAGCATCGAGATTGGAAAGTCTTGACCCGGGGGAAAGAGACGGCTATACACAATCTAAAGACGGAGCTAAATCTCAGCGCAACCAGCACATCCAAAAGTGTGTCCGGGCAGACATGGCCAGTCGGCTCAGGCGCCTCTAATCGGACATCTACTACTCCTGCTGGTGCTTTGACTGGGTCGTCGGGGAGTAATGGACTCCGCACTATCAAGCACATCTAGACGCCTTGACGATTAAACGATGTAGTACAGTCACCTACTATCATACGTTAGTCGTCGCAGGCTATTGCCCCTTCTATATGGGGGACACCTCATTGGCAGCTTCCGACCGGCTCAAACCATGGTCACGCGAGCACAAACTCTGGACCTATGTATGGGAGGGGCATTTGACCGACGGTCGGTGGCCGCGTGTGTGCCCCCATCCATTGTGGGACGACGCTCTACTCGGCGATCCCACCTCCTTCCAATTTCATCTCGTGGATACGCACAAGTTCAGTCGGTCGCATACAGCACATGGTACAGGCAGCCATCTGCGCTCTTCCCCAAATCAGAGTGGCCGCGTCCAGGACACCCGCGAGCTAGGCTCTCCTTGTCCGAAACGAAAATTTCAAGATGATCATCACGGCTTCGAGTAGCAGTCATCGATGTCACCCGAGTCTATGGCCGAGGACCAGAAAGCCAGGCCTCCTCGTGCTCCTAAGCGTCGGCGAGCAAGTGCTGCCGGTCGGACCGTCTGCCCTCAAGTCATCATGCTCGGCCTCGACGACAACCTTTTAGACCGGTCTGACACGCCTCCGAGCGAAACAATCTTGGGGTCGTCCGTGAACCCTGTACTCCTGTCTCCCGATGACGGTGACGACGACGATGACAGCTCCATTCATACAGGCTTTAAGCCCCCTCTACCCCTTGACGTGGCCTCGTCTCAGCAACGCCCTTCATCCGAACCAGAAACACTCGAAGGCGAGTCGGACGTAGCTACTCTCTTCGACTTCGACCAGTACCTCCGCTCGCCCTGGCCTCCAACCTAGCCTCCACAATCAGACGAGTCCGTGAGTGACTGGAGCGGAGCCACCCTTATAGGGCTTGGACGCGACCCGTCATGTGACGCGATCGCGACGAGTCTATCCGCACAGCCACCTGCTCTTGTGGATTATGACGTTCCAGAGGACGAGGCGGCCTCTACAGTGTCAACAGAAGTGGATCGGCTGTTAGCACAGCCATCCCTATCTGTCAAGCCAGAGGCTCTGGTTGACAAGGTCACCTGTTGGGCCGAGAGCGGCCCTCGCCTCCGACTGCGTGTCAAACCACCCAAGATCACGCCCCGTCTCAAGGTCCCAGAAGGCCACTCAACAACTCAACTCGACGACAACAAGGGCATCACACACGGTAAGGGAAAGAAGGTGGTGTCAAAGCAGAAGAAGCCAAGTGCAGGTAAACGTAAGAAAGCATCTCGTTGACTGAGAGCCTATGCGTTTGCGTAGAATATCGTCGTAGAGATTAGCGAGCTATGTTGCTGTTATCACTGTTATCCAGGCCAATAGAAATCGTTCTATCATCCGCGAGCATTAAAGTACGAAGACCACACCACCCGAGAAGGTGAATGTCAGCCCCTTCATCAACAGCCGTACATGGACAAGTCTTTTGATGGTCGTAGTAAGAGCATTTAGATAGACGGCACAGAACCATTAAAACCATTAAAACCCATTTTGCCCAAACCCCTATTAGTCGAAAATTCACGTGATTCAACTTGACACAGATTCGGTTAGTGACAAAAATCTTCTGAAACTGAGTGCTTCATCACGTGCTCAGACCTTGGACCGTCATGAGGAAGACATCGAATAATAATTGTTTTATGCCTACATTGGTTGATGCTTGTTTAGAACATTAGTGGCTGATTAGGTGGTTTATTGTCGCGCCACAAGCCATGATATCGTACGATGTTACTTAACATATCTTGACATAATGCCGAAGAAAGGATATAGTTAGCTTTCCTGCTGCCATCACCGCAAAGCTTAGGTGTGGGATGAAGGAATGACCGTCCTGGGGTTCTCGACTTTCCCGATAGAGAAACGTTGATCTCTACCCTCAGCTCGAAGTTTCCTGATTGAGATTAAGAAGCTGAGACATGCCCATAATCCTTGGGTCTTCACCTCCTCTATGTGCAAGTCTTGCCGGCTAAGTCGCTGAAATCGTACTCAAACATCTACCTCGTACTGCACGGCCTTTGAGAAAGTACCTCGTCAAGCTCGTACAACTTTGGGATTCTGCGGCTGGTCCGAGATCGAGGCCTTGCGTCATCCCTATCGATCATGTGACCAGCTAATAGTAAGGGGAGATTAACTATTTCTTTATTACTGGCTAGTCCAAACATACTATTCCGTGCTTCTGCCTGCGCACCTTCATGCCATGTCCACCTATTTCAAGATGATGGTTGTCGTCGAACAACACCTCCTGTCTTCATCTTGTCCAGCTCCCTTCCACTTGAACACCTTGACTTCCTACCCAGAGGATCAGTATGTCTACGGAACTTGACCGATTGCGCCAACTCCTCCAGGAAGAGAGACGACTCCGCGAAGAGGAGACACAACGCCGCGTGGCTGCTGAATCGCAGGCGAAGTCGGAGCAAACCCGACGGGAGGAAGAGCAACGTCGACGAGAGGAGGAGCAAACACGACGGGAGGAAGAGCAACAGCATTTCCAGCATCGAACTGGCAAGACGAACCTACCTGAATTCCTCGACGCCTGTCACGTATATCTCTACCAAGACCTGAAAATACAAGACAAAAGCGAGTCGACCCAGGGCACGCCTGCCAATGCCGACCGAAAGCTCCGGCCAGATCGCATCGTTCGTTGGCATGACTTTGCAGAATGCCAGACTCGAGTATGGGATGTGTTGATGCAATCGGACACCATTGAGGACAAACACTACACCTCACGACATTCGTTGCAAGAACACGGCGAACAGCTACATCGACGGCGATTGAGCTCGGAGTTAGACGTTCACTACTTCGTTCGATTTGCGATCAATGAACAAGTTTCCTCGATTGTTGAACAATTGTCGCAGGATCCCCACCTACGACAGTCGCTGAATCTACGCGGAAATGTAATCTTTGAGAATCACGGCAACATGCTGAGTGTGGACGACCTCGACCTGGAAAATCTGGACGTTACCCAACCGCCGCCACGTCGGCGCTCACCGCGTCTACGTAAACAGGCCGATCAAACGCCGTTGGACCCTCCGTCGTCGTCGGCCAGTCGAACTCGCTCCTCAATCCCCCGTGCCGACCAGTTTGGTGTTCACCATATTGTCAATGAAGCCAATGTCGTCACGCAGAAGATTCCAATCTTAGTTATGGAGTACAAGGCCGCCCATAAATTGACCTTGGGTCACATCTACACAGGCCTCGGAGAGATGGATCTAGATGACATCGTCCAAGAACGCCTCGACGAGGACGTTACGCGACGATGTCAGCGCCTAGTCGCGGCGGTGTTAACCCAGACATTTGCATACATGATCGCAGCGCGGGTGGAATTAGGGTGCGTCTTCACCGGCGAGGCCTTCATTTTCCTGCGTATCCCCGAGGACGACTGTTATCGTCTAGAGTACGCTCTCGCCGTCCCTCACGGTGATGTGGGCCCGTCCACCGGGTGGCATGAGCAATTGGACCAAGATAATCGACTACATCTTACCGCCGTCGGCCAATTGCTGGCGTTCACTGTGAACGCGGTGCAAAGCCCTCGCCGCAGCCTCCGCTGGCAAAGGGATGCAGAGAGGCAGCTCCAGACGTGGCAACTGGAGCCTGAAGAGTTGGGCGAGGATATGCCGGAAATAGATGTTCCAGGGTCTGAGTACCGACCACCGCTCGGGGAGGACGCGCGGTTTCTGGTGGAGTCTCCGGTCCGACGTCGACTGCGCCCTCGAACTGTCTTTCAGCTGGACAACGCGCCCAGTCAACATTCGACAGATACCGAGGAAGACAGTGGGGGTGAAAATGGAAAGACCGCCGCCGAAACCCCAAGCCGTGGGCCGCAGCAACGGCGCCGAGGGTCTGCCGTCGGAGGCTCCCAGCATGGTTCCCCGGCGAAAAACAGGGGAGCCTCCAATGCACACCCTCAATCCGGTCGGCAGCGAGACTTGGGACCATATTGCTCAGCCCAGTGTCTAAAGGGCATGCTGATCGATGGTCCTTTGGATCCTACTTGTCCGAACGTGCACCGACACGCGAAAGGCTCACGACATATGATTGGCCTCAAACGTTTTCGACGTTCGGTACGACGTATATGGCAGGAGCACCTCGAATACTGCGAAGAACTAGGCCTCTACGGAGCGAGAGGCTGCCTGTACCGGATCCGTCTCCCTAGCTGGGGCTATACCATGATGGCTAAGGGTACACGACAAGAATTCATCGCCGACCTTAAGCGCGAGGCAGCAATGTATCAAAAAATCCTGCAACCGGTCCAAGGAACCATTACCCCGGTATACCTGGGAAGTTTCACGATGCAACGACCTCTGCATTATATGGGGCAGGTGCCAATCGTGCATATGATGTTGATGTCCTTCGGAGGCTATCCCATGCATCGCATGCACATCCCACCAGGTGCTGCTCAAAGTGCCATTGACGGGCTACGTGCTATTCACCGACTTGGAATCCTACATCATGATATTGCGCGACGAAACATGCTATGGGACCCGGTTTTGCAGCGGGTGATCTGGCTCGACTTTGAGCGAGCACAAATCTGCCAGCGTCGGCCACTGATGGAAAAATCGGTGAATGAAAATAAGATGCCGACTAGGGGAAAGGCTAAGAGGACTTTCGAGGAGCGAGCATCTGTAGAAGTCAGGAAGGTCCGGGCAGAGCTGAATCCTACTCCTCCGGGACCCTGAACTTATTGTCCGGTGTATATTCGAGTAAAAAAGAGAGCACTGGGAAAGACTGCAGCGTTCAGATGTCAGCTCAATAGTGGCCGATGACTTACGCGTTACATTAATAGCCTGTAAGCTTACGGATGAATAGCATAGCGACGAGTACAGTAACTCCCTGGTCACTTCTGTTCCCCGCCTTCGTTTACCGACATGGCTAGATATCTTGCCGCAGCTTGTCCGTATAATCCAGCAGTTCCAGTGTCGTGACCGACCTCGACGTTGGAGAAATTACGCCACCGCCCAGCCTATAGGGCCAGTTTAAGGGAACCTCGTATATGGACTCGGTACTTCGTAGGTACATTTCAGGGAGCATCACGTTGGCGTCTAGGTGCCAAGTGTTACGGGCCAGGCCTGCGCCCTGGTCACGGCCGGGCCGTGGCCGCCACAACACGGAAGGTAGGCCGAGGGCCTAGCTAGCCAGTGCGGATTTCGATTTAGATAGACAGCCCACCTTTTTGTCGGGACCCTGATAGAGTGTGCACCCAGATTGAAAGCCAGATGGAGCTTTCAAACCTGGTTACGACAGGATTGCGTTCAGAAGCAGTATCAGTATGTACGGTGCATGAGACCTCTGATACTATGTAGTGATACTAGCTAATACTAGTATCATTATGATACCTTCCAATAATCGAGGTATCGAAAACCACGCTGGGTAGGAGCGTCGTTGCCTGAAAAGCTGTTCCGATCAATGGCTGCTGCATAGGAGAAGCAGGCATCTCACACTCTGCACGCGATTGTGCTGGCGGTTTGTGACCCGGTCTCGCTGCTAGGGGAAGCGCACTCTGAGGCAATCGTCGGGATGATGGTAATGATTGCATTGCCACACTTCCGCAGATGAATTCCAGAAGATGAAAGGAGGCAGAGTCGGCCACAGCTGCGTTGTCGTATCTTCATCAGCGACAATTGGATCACACCGGAGTCCAGACTCCAGATCTCTCAATCAGAGTGGCATGGGTGCCTAGGTCCATGGGGTCACGAAAACACTGAGATTCCCGCGAGCGCATTCTCAGAATCTTTTCCTGGTCACCGTCCCGCAGACGCGTCGTGGTCCGAGAAGGCACCCTGTTATCCACAACTACGCATTCACAGTATTCGGAGGCCCCAGGGCCTTTCCGTTCTCAGCGACTCGTACCGTGGCGTCCTATGCGGCCTGCCGCAGGTGTGCCGATTGCCTCGTTACCTCGTTCCCGGACCCTTTTCTCTCGGGAGACTTTTCTGCTTTGAATCATCCGCACCGACCGCAGGCTTTTGGACTTTGTCGAGGCGACGTGGCACAACATCGCTTGCGAAGATATACATACATATATATATATATAAAATTTGTATATCTCATATCAACAAAGTCGCACGCAGCTCTACAAGCGCAAGGTGAATGATGTCTTCTAGATGCGAAGGGTCCAATCTCCCCTCTACATGCCAATGAAATGTCTAGTTGTGGCGCCACAGCCATGAATATCTCTCAAATGCTATCAGAACTCGAATCTGATGGAGGCAGCCGAACTGGAGGCGGTTTCCCATACCGTGTCACCTTTCTGTCGAGGAAGAGCCCGCCTGAAGGAAATCTTCCAACCGTAAGTTTCTCTCCCGAACCCCAAAGTCCAGACAACTTGAGCGCGACAGGGACACCGGAAGTTCCAGCCTTCACAACAGCCGGATTCTTGATCAGGTGTGGTTTCTTCGGAGGGACCGGCGGCTTCTTTGGCACAGGGTCAATCACGATATGCTCCTCATAGACGGTCCTTCGAGGACGTGTTCCGCCGTCATTGTCGTCCCCAGCATGTCGCCCGGGAGCAGTTCGGTGCTGCTCACTGGGGCCCGAGTCGTTTCTCACGACAAATTCCCTTGTGCGACGCCGGGCTATATTGGCACGGTAAATGTAGTGGGATTGATCTGCCATAAAGTTCCTACATCATGGCTTCGGTATCTCAATCGCCTTTTCCCAGGAGAACTATTCTACCAGGAGTTAGCCTTGTGGAAGAAATGTCACAGCGGCTGAGGCTCTTACAACGACGCCGACCACTAGATTGTCAACATCAGGCTGAAGTCGTTGAAGCGAGCACGCTGGTGCTGAAGTAGTCGGTGATATTGTCCAGGCTCGGCCTTGTCTCTTGTGCAGGTTGAGCCTGTCCGCGCACAGGTTGTATGCACCAACCACCGAGGAGGATTGCGACGCTGGACTCGACGGGGACGATCCGAGCCGGAACCAGAAGTCTGGGCAACTTCAGGATTTGTCGGCCTGTTCTTGACATGGGCTGTCTATATTATCCTCTTGGAGATTCTATCCGAGTTTGTGAGCACCAAGTTCAGCCTCGCGAAAGAGAGAACGAACGACCAACCGACTGACCGACCGACCTAGCACCTTAGCTAGCTACCCCGCTCTTGAGCCTCAGTCGCCTCCATTTGCGAAGGTCTGGAAATGGTGCGAGACGATAACGCTATCGACGCTATCGGTTCACCTGCAGCTCCTCACGTATATCAGTCGGGCGCTACGCTCGTTCAGTGGCTCGAGGGGAAGTCACAAGTCTCGGATGCAACCATGCCATGGGCCACCTTATGCGTTGCTTCTCGTTTCGGGCATGACTTAGCCTTAGGTGACTCATGTCAAGGTCAATATTTATCGACAGCAGATAAATTGCAGGCCTTTGCAGGAACTCTCGATCTAACTCGCTGTCGTCGATGGCCAACGTCCAGACCTCGTACTTCTTCCCGCCCCAGTGGACTTTCCACGTCGGCGGCCCAATCAGCCTGGGCAACATCCTCCATGACCCTAAAACACCTCAATATGCTCTCAACGACGAAGACAGGCAGCCACTGCCGAAGCTCTTCATCGACGACACAAAATCCCACTTTGCAGTCACCATCACCAACAACAAAGCCAAGTCGGCCGGGATTGGCTCCTCGTTGCTCCAACTCTTCGGTTTCTCAGCGGATCTGACCGCAGAACGGACCAAGACGCTGACCTGGACCATCGAGGCCGACCAGCTCGCGACGCAGGAAATCAACCCCAAGGCTTCGTATGTCGAAACGTGCTTCAAGCACCCGGAGGTGCAGAGCTTCTTGCGGAAGACCAAGTTCCGCAAGGAGTTATACATGATCACCGGGATCATGGCCGTGTCGAGCGCGACGGTGAGCAGCGAGATCGGCCAGAAGCACCTTTTCTCCGCGAAACTGGGCGCGAACCTTGCGCCCGTAGCTGCGGGTGTGCCAGTCGAAGCGCATGTCAGTGGCTCGATTTCTGGAGACCGTGGCAAGCAGGGGTCCTTTGGGAAGTCAGATTTCATCCTGGGTAGGCCACAAGCCTCTCCCTGAATGTTCGCGTGGGAGAAGGAAAACCGCACTTTACACATTCCTTCATTGACTTCGTGTGTGCGCCTGCTCGATTAACTCAGGGGGTGCTAATAGCTTCAAAGCCTACAAACTTAGGAAAATCCAATACCTGAAGACCCAGAACGTGAAAGACATGAAAGACGTCTATTCCGGCACGGTCCTTGACAACGATCGTCCGGCCCTGCCTTTGGAGGAGGTGGAGGAGGAGGAGGACCAGACGGCAGACGCTCAATTCCTTGGTCTTGAAGACAGCGTGGCTGGGCCGGACGAGTTCGAATTTGCGGCCGTTGAGGCGCAGGTAAGTCGCCGGGAGAGCAGTGGCGGCGAGACCATCGAGTTTGTGCTCCCTGTGGAATCGGAAGATGTGGAATAGCGGCTGCCACACTGTGGATCAGAGGCGAACCCAGGCAAGGGCAAGATGATGCAGACGATGCTTCTCTGCGGATACAAATGGGAATGGGAATGAAAGGGATGGAGGGATGGAAGGAATGGATCAGAAACGAAATGCAAAGCCAAAACCAAAGCCAAAGCCCAGGTAAGGCAAATGAATGAATGAATGAATAAATATATATAGATCAAGTTTGACACGGTACTAGGTAATAAAGGTACATAGGTGGTAGGCAATAGGCAGGCAATAGGGTGTATTCTTTCCTGTTTCTGTGCCCTTTTTCTATTTCTTTTTGTTTCCCCCTCCTCCCACCTCCGACGTGAAGAACCTGCAAGTGTGATGTTTACTTTGACGTTTGATCTTGGGTCTAGGACCTTGACCTCGATCTTTGACCTCGCATGACCTTGTACCTCATACATGTATTTTTAATTTATGTATTCACTGACTCGCTCTTCCCAGGGACGGTTTGGTTGGCGACGCTAGTCGCCAGTCGCTGGTCGCTGGTCGCTCAAGGTCTGATAGATACTTACTGTACGTAGATACCTAGGGAGGTGGGAAAGCAAAAATGTCCCCTTTTGTCGTCAGAGGATGATATGTGAAGCGCAGTCACCTACAGACCTACAAGCCCGTAGGATGTATCTATCTATCTATCTATATACATACATACGAACATGCGCTATCGTAAATATCACGGAACACTGGTAGAGTCTGGATAGCAGAGTCCCCCGTAGAGCCATATCCATGTCCGTGTCACAGTGCCAAATACTCGAACGAGATGGTGCTGTGGTGCTGTGGTGAAGAGAGACTGCACCACAACCCAAGTCTTGCTTACTTTTCCCAGTCTCGAGTCTCGAGTCTCCTTTCGTTATTGGATTTCCTCTGCTGGTTGAGGGTTGAGTACCTCGAGCCCCTGGAAAGCAGCCATCACAAACGAACCACGAAACACGAGAAGAGGATTCGCACGGAGCATTCTTATCACCTACCTACTGCTAACCTACCTGTCCGCCTACAGTACCTACCTTGGTGGGCAGGCTTCTTTGTTCGTCCACAGGCATGGAGCTAGAGAAGACGTTCTGTATCTACCTGATAATAGCATGGCATGGCATGGCATGGCGAGGTACATATGACAGACATGTACCTCAGATGCTGCCCTTTCCCTTGAAAATCCTCGAGGCGAGACCAGATCATGTTTGACGCGGATTCTTCTTGGTACCTAGCTTGAGCTGTAGGCTGTAGCTGTCTCCAG